TGCCCGCTGGAATGGGAATGACAACGGGAATGACAACGGGAATGACAACGGGAATGACAACGGGAATAACAACGGGAATAACGGGAATGACAACGGGAATAACGGGAATAACGGGATCAATGGCACTGATCCCGCGCCCGCCGCAGCTTCTCCTGCTCCGCACTGCCCGCTGGGAATGAGGGAAAACGGGAATGACAACGGGAATGACAACGGGAATGACAACGGGAATGACAACGGGATCAATGGCACTGATCCCGCGCCCGCCGCAGCTTCTCCTGCTCCGTGCCCACTGGAACAGGAATGACAACGGGAATGACAACAGGAATAATGGGAATGACAACGGGAATAACAACGGGAATGACAACGGGAATAACAACGGGAATGACAACGGGAATGACAACGGGAATAACGGGATCAATGGCACTGATCCCGCGCCCGCCGCAGCTTCTCCTGCTCCGCACCCGCTGGAATGGGAATGACAACTGGAATAACAACGGGAATAACAACGGGAATAACAACGGGAATAACAACGGGATCAATGGCACTGAGCCCGCCCTGCCGCAGCTTCTCCTGCTCCGCGCTGCCCGCTGGGAATGAGGGAAAACGGGAATGACAACGGGAATGACAACGGGTATAACAACGGGAATAACGGGAATAACGGGAATGACGGGATCAGCGCCACTGAGCCCAGCCCGCTGGAATGGCAAAACGGGAATAACGGGAATAACGGGATCAATGGCACTGAGCCCAGCCCGCTGGAATGGCAAAACGGGAATAACGGGAATAACAACGGGAATGACGGGATCAATGGCACTGAGCCCAGCCCCCGCAGCTTCTCCTGCTCCGCACTGCCCGCTGGGAACGGGGAAAACGGGAATGTCCATGGGATAACGGGGAAAATCCACGGGAAAATCCCATGGGGTAATAGGGAAAATCCGTGGGAAAATCCGTGGGGTAACGGGGGAAATCCACAGAGGAACGGGGTGAAATCCAAGGGAAGATCCAGGGAAAATTGGGGAGAAAAATGGGAGGGAAAATAGGGAAAACCCAGGGAAAAACGTGGAAGTTACAGGGAAAAGGGCGGGATTTACAAGGAGGGGATGAGGCACCGGGCAGGGGAAGGGATGAGGCACCGGGGCCGCTCCCGGAACATTCCGGATGAAGCAGGGATGAGGGATTGGGGCCGTTCCTGGAACGTTCCGGATGAAGCAGGGATGAGGCACCGGGGCCATTCCCGGAACATTCCAGATGAAGCAGGGATGAGGCACCCGGAACGTTCCGGATGAAGCAGGGATGAGGGATCGGGGCCGTTCCCGGAACGTTCCGGATGAAGCAGGGTGACGCTCCGGGGCCGTTCCCGGAACATTCCGGATGAAGCAGGGATGAGGGATCGGGGCCGTTCCCGGAACGTTCCGGATGCAGGGATGAGGCTCCGGGGCCGTTCCCGGAACGTTCCGGATGCAGGGATGAG